ATCATATTTATTTACAGATAATAAAAATCCATTGATTATTATTTAAAAAATTTCATTCAAATTTTCAACAAATTTCGTTAGCTGACTACTAATTTGCTCCATTCGCCACCAACAGGAATTCGAGAAATTTGAAAAAGAAATTTTGAACTTTAATTAAAAAAAATATGTTTCAAATAATTTTATTTTTAAATTTTCCAGTTTGATTTTTTAATTATTTATGTACAATAGAGTAAAATTTCATTTGTTCAAGTCTAAGATTTTTCAGAGAAATTCAATTTTGTTGTTTTGAAGTTGGTCATTTTTGCCATTGCTCTATATTCAATGAGCTTATTTAACACTTACTGACTTCTTTGCAATGGAATTTCAGCAATATTTAACTATATATACATGTAAAATGTGCTCAATTGACAAAAAAAAAATGGTTTATAGAGCAAATAAGCACATAAAAATCAGTAAAATGTTGTTTATGGAGCAAAAACGACACCGAATATCTTACAAACTAAGGAAGATAGGAAAAAATAGTTTGCGTAATGTGAAAGAGCACCCGTCAAAATCTATATAATCACTCTGAAGTCAAAATTTTCAAAAATGGCGTATGAAGCAAATTAGAACTCGGCGAATTCTCATTTTTTAGCACTTTTCCAAAAATTTTTTGAAAAAAAGTGCTTATTAGTTTCACTCTGTCCGTCCGTCCGTCCGTCCGTCCGTCCGTCCGTCCGTCCGTCCGTCCGTCCGTCCGTCCGTCCGTCCGTCTGTCCGTGTGTCTGTTTACAAAACTTCTACATTCTTAAAGATAGAAAGCTGAAATTTAATACGTACATAGATCTTTACTAGAAACTTATTTCCGTAGAACAAAATTTTTACCTATCTCTCCCCCTCTAGAAGTTATACCCCCCCAAAGCACTAAAAATGGCCTATTTTAACTATTTGTTGCAATGAAACCATAAGCATTTTTGAAATTTTGCAAACGCAGAAAGGCAGTGGCTTGCTTCCCCTACCGCGGTATACTATAGTTAAACTTTAGAAAAACAAAATGGCCGTTAAAATTTACCGTTATCTGCAGTCTTTTTTTTCCAAATTTTTGATGTCGGTTTTCTCCTAGACCCCTGGCTGTAGAAGCTTGAAGTTTTAGGAGCTTTTAGACATTAACAAATAGTTCATTTCTCTAGAAGAAAATTTTTTTCCATCTCCACCCCCTCTCAAGTTATGGCCTCTTGAAATTTGTAAAATTTGCATTTTTAATACCTTATATTTCCGAAACCGCAAGCTTTTCCAAATTTTTATAAATGCAAAAAGTTAACGGTAAATTCCATGACATTAAAAAATATAATTATTTTTCTTAACTCACACAATTAACCCTTAAAATCGAGCATTATGTTAACCCCATTTTATATTAATTTTTGCTTTATTTCAAAGACTGCATAAATGGTTCATCCTAAATATATGCAATCCTAGAAATAGTTTCGTTTATAAATGAAAATAATTTTAATAGTGTGGTGAACATACATAGACTGTTTTTAAAAGCAGTATTTTCACTTGTTGAAGGGAAAAGTGCTACAATACAAACCATTGGTTTGACCCAACTTTATTAAATATTAATATTAATAATAAAAATTTTCATGAGAATTATTGAAAGTCTTTAGCATATGTTGCATATTTTTCTATAATGTAAACAAACAATTATAAAATCATTATTGTTTACATATTTTTATTTATTGTCTGTCCGCCACATTATTATGTATACCACAATAAGGACAAACATAGCCTATACGAACATATGTACATACATAAAATTTACTTAACTATAATGAAATTTAATTTTATTTTGTAATTTTTATTGATTTTTTTTTAAATTCTTGCTTACATAATATGCAATATATAGTATGTATATGTTTATGTATGTAAATTAAATATTTATGTATGCATTTATTAATTTGTTTAATATTATTAAAACGTAATTTATTATGAGGAAAATTTTCACTTTTTTTTCGTTTTTTGAAAAATAATGTCAAAAGAAATAATATAAAAATTAATTTGATTAAAATATATTAAATATTTTTTTCCACTCCTGAAACCAAATAAAAATAATTATCAATTAAATTACTTGGAATTTCATTTTCGTATATTCAAGTGAGTAAATAATGGCTATGGTACCAGTAATAACAGTATCATCAAAAATTATGATAAGTTAAAAATATGGGGTTAATATTTTGTACACAAATTGCAGTGATTCAAAATAAATAGTAAAGAACTCACTGACCTCATTATTAAGGTGCGAGATTTATTAATTTTTTTGTTTACATACATATACATATACATATATATAAATTTTTCCTCTTATTATTATTTACTTGAAAAAGAAATCAAAAAATGCATAAATTTTCTTTTTTTTTGGGAATATTGTTTTGCAACGACTGCACTAACACACACTGATTATTAATTTGCTTGAATTACAAGATAAAATATTTTAGTAATAATGTTAAATTATTAAAGTAGCCATAATTATTATGGGTAATTTAGTCGTTCCCTTTTGGAAAACGAAGTCAAATTATAAATACATATAAAATTTTAAATAATTTTATTTATGTAATTTATTTTATATTAATAACAATTAAATATGTACTCCTAAAAATGCTTTTAAAAAAAAATTGGAAATTAAATAGTGCATTGGATGACAATAATTGTAACAAATCTGTGGTCTATGAAGAGATTACATTGTCTACTAGTAATCCATCTTCGTGCTATATGCAAAATTAAGAAAAGTATAACCCTGTAAGAGAATAAAAATCATAGTAGCAATTCATAAAATCTTGTATCACAAATTTGCGAGAATAATGACCTGAATAAGTCAAAATGCAGAATCGCAAACTTGCTTTTATTACTATTATACTTTAATAAATATGTATAAAGATTTTCTGTAACAAAATAATACAGAAAATTTGTTCATATAATTGTAAAATAGTTCTATACCAACGTTTTTTAGCCTTCGATAGTATTGTACTTTAAATTCCGGAAGTCGATGTCATATTTTTGAGTTGTGTCGTTATTCTTCCCATATATGCGATATATAAATTGAAGTCAAAAAATTTAGCCTATTAGAAAGTTGTCTTTATCTCCTACAAAATTTTATTTGATGTAGATACGTGATATCATTTGCCATAATTCGGTATTTAACTCTAAAACTTTAATTAAACTGACAATTGAATTCTCGTGTCAAATAATTTAGCCCCTTTTTTGGGCCAAAAATGCATAAATATATATGTTTTTGAAAATTAATTTGTCTGACCTGACTAAGAAAGTCCCTTTATTTCTTTACTTCTCTCTGTTACTCTTTCTACACATTTGTAATTTCAATTACATTTATTTGATTTAAAAATTAACTTTTCAGAATAAAAGAGAAAACAAACCTTATTAAATTTTAAAACTGCCTACATATATGGCAGCCTTAAGTATTTGTGTTCATGCGCATATATGTGCAGCAAATTTGTTAAGATAATTTGTAAGTTAATTATTAATAATTATTTTACATACATACATACATGCATACATTCTTGTATTTCAAAAAGAAATTAATAATTTGAGATAAAAAACTTTTTAAATACAACAATTTTTTTTTGGAAAAATGTGTGAGTGTTTTAATAATAATTAACAAGATAATAATTGCGGCACGTTTTATACTACTTTCTATTTGTGCCTGTGAAATTTCATTGTTTATTTTATTTGTGCTCGTGTCAATTTTACAATTTATATTTTTTTTTTATTTTGTGATTAATAAAACAATGTATAGTAAAAAAAAAAAACAATTAAATTTAATTAAATATTTTAAGGGGATTTTCCGATAAATTAATTTCTCAATTTATTTTTTTTTTTCATTATTCTAACAAAAAAATTTAATGACTTATTCAAATTGAGTGCAAAAATTTAAATTTAAGTACATGAGCGTCTACTAGAATTGCAAAATTTTTACGCAGAATATGAAATTTACTTTTTGTTAAATATTTTGGTAAACAAATATAATATATACATATGTAATTAGACAATTCTACTTTAGCCAGCTGTACAACTTCAATTACGAATTTTGACGTTTTTCAATGCATACTGAAATTTTTGTCTGCAAAAATATGTTAAGTTGACGTCTTCTTTTTGACATAATGGTACAAAGTGAATTTTGTACACTCTTACTTTCGTTTAACATTCTGATTGTAACAAATTGACTGCAGAATCTGAATACAGAACGTCAAATTGACTTCAGATATTTTATTGCGGTAGACGGGGCACTTTTAATTTTAAAATTTTACTAATGCTCAGCTCACATATGAATAGAGTTTTTTAATATTTGTGTTTACCAATAAATTTAATAAAATTTATTTTAATATCTTCTCTAAAAATATAAAAAAAAAAATATAATTAAGAATATTAACTATGACTAAGCTTAAATTTTAAGAAATTCGAAAGAACTGAAAAGTGTAAGAAAACAAGGAAATAAATTTTCAAATTTTATTAATTGTTATTCCCCAAATATAAAAAATATTTCCATTTTTTTTTTCATTATGTCACGTTTCACAACTAAATCTACAAAGAGTTTGTGTTTATATAGCTAAAACATTTTCTTATTTTAACTATTTTAAAAAATGAATCTAAAAATAATATGATAAAAAATTACATATGTACAAACATGGGTTAGATGTTTTGTTGTTTTTTTTTCGCTTGCTATCTCATAAAATTATTGCGTTTTAATTTTGGTATCAACAAATTTTGCCGAAAAAAAAAACCACCATTAAAATAAATATAAACAAAAAGAATAAGAAGAACAAAAAATAATAACAATTAAATATTTAATTTGACCTCTAATTATCATCTGTTATCTGTTTTTATTATTATAAAAATAAATATTTAAAACAAAAAAAAGAAAGGGAATATTTTAATTGTTTATCAAAAATTTCTAATAATTTTTTATTTATTTTTATATAATATTTTTCTTTTTTTTTTATTATTTTTAGTGAGAAGAAAATTATCGATCTTGATAAGCCATTAAGACCAGGCGCCTTCGTTGATACAACAAAACTTAAGCAATTTACTGAAGAAGATTATATTTTGCCGGAGACGCCACCATTTAGTTGGCTTATTCGTCGAACGAAGGTATGTATTTGTACTTGTATTATGTTATATATGTAAATTCATTTGAACATTTAATTGAATCAAAATAGAAAATGATATATGATAAGCAGGCCTAGTTCTCTTCCCTCGGTTACAAAACAATGAACAATACGCAATAAACATTGAAAATTGCTCTATAATAATCGCCCCAACCTGTTTTCGGCGCTCATTACACATGCTTAATTTGCATATATAGTAGATTCGACGTTGATCATTGGTTTAGTGCTTGTTTCGGACAAGCAACTTAAATTTATATTGAGCTCTTTAAATTTAAAAAAAAAAATAATAAAATCAATATCTTATTTTAACAAGCAAAAGTCTACAGAGCAGTTTTTAAGTAAATAAAATTAAATACTAAATTTTAAAATCGGTTTTTCGAAAATCTTGCTTGTAGGAAACGCTAAGCCGACATAAGCTACAAATGTATGTTGCAGAGAAAACACAAATAAAAATTTTGCAATATTTTATTTACAATAAAAATGGAAATAGGACATTTTATCATTATAAAATTGACAAAATGCACGCGTTTATTTATTATACATATACATACATATGATGAAAATTAATTTGTATAATATTTAAATGAAAAATTTTCAAATCTCTTCTGAATTCTTTGAATAGCTATTCAAAGAAAAAAAACACATTTTAATTTAAGCCTTAGAGCTTCGTTCTCAAACCGATTGTATGCCTGACATCGTAACAATATAACTTTGACGTTTCAGAATTAAAATAAATTTGACATTTCATACAAACTTACAAATTAACTAAATAACTTTTCCTTTTTGTTTTTGATCTCTCTCTTTCAATTTTTGTTAAAAACCAAATATAAAATTTAAGGTTACATTAAGTAAACCTCAATTTTTTTCGAAAATATTTTCTAACATTAAGGTTCCAACAGTTTCTAATAATTTAGGTTATTATTTACCATTAATGTTAATAAACATACAATTAAATTCAATAAAGACAAACGTATAATTAATATTTTTTTTTTTATATTTTTAGGAGGAATCATCCCAAGAAACTAGTGTTGAAGATGATCGTTCTTCATCAAATCTTAATTCACCAGTTGATAAAGTGCCAACACCATTAACAACTGGTACAACAACTATATTAAATGCAACAACAACAACAACAACAAATACTACCACAAATAATAATAATGCTAATTTTAAAAATTGTGAACAAAATTGTCAAGATGGTAGTGGTACTGGTGGTAAAATTCAGCAACAACAACAAAATGGTGGCCAAACAAAAGATGTTAGTGGTACATCACCAATTAGATCATTATTAGTAGCAGCACCAGTTGAAGATTTAAAAAAAAAGAATTTAAATAAATCAAAATTATCGCAAGAAGATGAAAATCTTTTAAAAGAATTGGTATGATTTTTAAAATATTGATAAAGGAATATTTTTTTTTTGAATTTGATTTTAATTAATTCTAAAATATTTGTAATTTTGTACATAATTATGCAATTAAATAAAATAGTAGACGTTCACAATCCCTAGATTGAAACAACAAATTGAAATTCTCTTTTGGAATACAAAAATCACAATAATTTTAATTGATCCTTGCAATTTTGTTAAAATAAAAGTTATTTTAATCTAGAGATTCTTTAGAAATTTTTGAAAATCAACATTAAATTTATAATAATTAAATAATTTAGAATTAAAAAACAATTTCTTCTAGTAAATCGTAGGCAATTTTTGCAAAATTTTTAATTTTTAATAAGAAATTAACAATATTGTTCACTGATTTTTGTTATTAAACAGTTAATCACTTAAAAAAATTAAGATAAAATTTCAATTTAATTTAAATTTACTAGAATATTAATTAAAAATCTTGAAGAACTTTCGTAAATTCTTTAACAATAATTTCAATTTCAATTTTTCATATCGTTATTTTTATATTACAAAATCTAATATTAATTATGTATGTATTTCAAAAATTATTAATAATATTTCAAATTATATAAACTTTTTTAATTTTAATAATAATTATTTTTAATAATTTTTTTTTTTGTTCTTTCTCATTTTAGCATTTTCCATTCGCTTCCGTTAACACTCATATGGGTGATTTGGCCAAATTTTATCGAGATTGTTATAATGCACCACCATTACAATCATGTACTGATCCACAAACAGTTGAAACTGAAATTGCTGTTGATGATTTATCAAAGCAATTAGAACAATTTGAAACATCATTAGATGATTATGAAACACTCGTTAAATCAATAGGTTGTTCATTATTAGACAGCAATTCAAATAGTTAAACTATAAGCATTTTTTTTTTTATTATTTAAAAAAAAAAAAAATCAAACAACCATTTTACTAAATAAAAGAAAAAAATTATTCAAAATGCAACACAAAAACAAAGCAGAAAAACAAAAAATTCGTTAAATAATTGTAAAGAAAAAACTGAAAACTTTTTAAAAGACAAAGTAACAAAAAAAAAAAGGAAAATTTTTAAAGAAAATTGAAAATGTTTGAAAATTGTGAAAAATTAAAAATTGAACAGTGTGGAAATTTGCAAACAAACAAATACAAAAAAAAATTAAAACTTTAAAATCAAAATTAAACTACAAAAAAAAAATAAAAATAGACTTAAATGACCTATAATCTAAATCCATTCTATTAAAATGCAAAAAGTTAACAAAAATAAATTACGAATTGAATAAAATCTACAAATTTAACATTTTTTTTTTAAATGACATTCATAACTCTATTATAAATACATACTTATATAAAAAATAATAATAATTACTTACTTACATAATAACAAAAATTAAAAATAAATATCGTCTCTGCGTTTTGTTTGTTTTTCCATTAATTCTAAACAAAATTTGCAAATTTTCAAAAATATTTTACTCAAAACAACAAAACATAATTAATATTTAAAATGTAAAATATCAAAAAAAATATTAAAATTAAGATTTCCTTTTAATTTGTCAGGTTTTTTTTTTTTTACGAAAGCGAATTTTTGACTTTAATGCGCAAAATAGCGTTTCCGATTGCGATTTTTGTTTGTTTCCTGTATAGCTGCTCAGTTGGTGTTTTTTTTTTTTTTGTTTTTTTGTACTGTTGTGAAAGTTTGATTGCGAAACAAATTTGTGCGCTGTTGTATTAGAAAAATATTTTGTCTGAAAAAATTCTAATTGTGAATTTCTGAGAGCTTTAAGTTGTGTTTATATATTCGATTAATATTTGAATATTTTTGGGTGGGTTGGTGTCTGTGTGAGAAGAAACAGAAGTATCTTCCAAAATAAAAACAAAAGAATAAAATAAAAACCATTTTTTTTTTGTTGTTGTTGTGAATTATGGAGAGAAAAGGAGAATTTTCAAAAATTGCCTTCTATTGTGAATTAAAAAAAAATTCATAATATGAAAATTTTATTTTTAATCATTAATAATTATTATTTAAAACTTTTCATATATGATTAAAAAATATTGGATTAATGGATAAAAAATGGATAAAAATTGCACGCCTCCTTTATCTTCTTCAATAAAATTCAACAATTTATGCGAAATTCAAATAATATGTAGCATGAAAATTTTAAAGAAATATACCTGTATGTGTGTATGAAAGAAGAGGATCGCATTTTGTTGCCGTTATCGCCGTCGTCATCGTAGTCATCGTCGTCGTCATTGTCGTCATCGTCATTATTGCACTCTTAAAAATGTGGATCAACATAAATGTATTTTTATTTTTATAAAAGAGTAAAAGAGAGAAGCATTCATTTTATAATCTTTGAAAGAGAAAAAATCGCTGCTAAAATTATTGCTATTTAAAAAATTTAAAATTGAAAAAAAACAAAAATTAAAGAAAACCTAATATGACTGATTTTGTGGTTTAGTTTCGTATTTACTGAAAAAAAAAAACAAAACAAAAAAAAAAACGAAAATATTAAAGAAAATTGAAAGAAAAAAATTGTTAAAAACAAGCAAAAAAAAAAAAATTATTAAAATAAAAAAAAAATTTTTAAAAAATAAAAAATTAAAAAATAAGCAAAGTTTATAATAAAAAATGCTTGTATAAAAAAAAATTAAAGCATAAAAATTAAATAAATTAAAAATTAACTAATAAAAATAAATATAAATTTTCAAAAAAAAAAAATACTTTATACATGTACACTAGAAAAGGACTACTTTGGATGATTCCTAAAATGTAATGAAAAATAAAAAATAAAAACAAAAATGATTTATGAAGGTGAAACCAGAAAGGACTCAAGATTTGTTGTTATGTAATGAAATTAAAATTAAAATTAAATAAAACAAGAAATTTATGTTTTAAATGTCAACTTTATGTTTTATATAAAATGTTAATAAAATTAAAATTGGAAAAAATTCAAAAAAAAAAAAATTTATATATATAAAATATTTATATTATGAAATTCTTTTATTTTTTTAAATTAATTCTGAAAGCACAATATTAAATGTCTTTAATAAAAATTGAACAAAACAAAAAAATAATGTACAAGTTTCTAGAAAAATCCTTAAAATTAAAAAAAAAAAAAGAAAATATTGTACTACTTTAAAGTATGTAATTTTACCACAAAAGATGATCCACTATGGGGTCGAAACGGGAAAAGAGGGTCACAGTGCCTCAATCCCTCACAAAAAGTAAAAAAGTATTTAATTTTTGTTTCTTAAATTATTGTTAAATTTCAAGAATTATTCAATATTAATTTCATCAACAAGATTAAATTCAAATTATTTAAAATTCTTGAAATTAAGTAAAATTTATTATTTGTTTTGAAATTAATCAAATTAAGAAATTTAAATAATGTACAAATTGAAATGAATAAATTATTAAAAAAAACAAAAAATTAATTAAATAAATTAAAAAATACCATACTTACCTGTTTCTTGCTTCAAAAATCTTTTTACAACTAAAATGAGAGAAAACCAAAAACAAAAAACAAAAAAAAAAACACTATTTTTTAGAAATCATCCATTAAAAATTTAAAATTTTTCAAATTATTTTTTATTTTTCATAATATTAAATTAAAATTTTAAATACATAAAATTATTGCTTTTTTGCTTTCTATTGATTTAAAAATATTTTTTATTATTACAATTATCTAAATTAAAAACAAAATATTAATAAAAAAAGAAAAAAATAAATTTTTATATTCAATTGAATTATTGCTTCCAATAAATTATTAAATAATAAAATAAAGATTTAAAATAAAATAAATAAAATTTAATAAAGAATAAAAATAAAAGAATTGAATAAATAAAAAATTAATTTTTAATTTGCAAAATTAAAATAAATAATTTTTTTATAATTATAATAACATATTATAACTTGAATTTGTATACAGTTTTGAAATGAGATCACAATCAACTTTAAAAATAATTATTTTAATATTGAAATATTGAAAAAATTTAAAATTTTAGGAAAAATTTTATATTGGAATATTATTCTAATTAAAATATTGTACTCTTTTGTTCTATAAATTTTTTTTTTAATTATACATAATAGCTATATAAGTAATATTGTAAGCAAATTCATAATTCAATTTTAATATTTTAATTCAATTCAGTTTTCATACAAAATAAATAATATTAATATTTATAAAAATGGTTCCTAAGTACTTTATTTTATTGTGTTTTTAGAGTAATGTGCGCAAAGTAATTAAAATAATATTTTTCTTTAAAAAATTGTATTGAAATTTTATTAATATGAAATATGTAATTTGTATTACAATTATGTAAAATTATTATATAAAATATTTATATTGTATTTAAATAAATTTGAAATATTTTTATTTAATTTTGTAAAATTTCTTGTTAAAACTTTTAAAAAGTATGTATGTAAAATGTTAAAAAGCAATATGTATATGTGTAAATTACAAAAATTTAAATTAAATTCTAATTTTAGAGTTGATTGTGATTTATAAAACATGATATTATTAAAATAAAAAAATAAATACCTAATTTAAAATTTTTTTTTTCCGTATTTATGTCATTTGTTACACAAATTTAAAGATATTTTTGAAATGAAGTGTACATACTTTTTTTAAATTATTTTTTTTTTTTTTTTGTCTTTCTACTAAAAAATTTGAATTAAAACTATATTAATTTAATAGAATAATGAAAATACTATTATTATTATTAATTTTCTGTTTTTCCGTTTCTATTTTTTTCAGAAAATAATTTTGAGTTAAAATTTTAGATTTTTGATTGTCTAATATTAAAATGTTATAAAGTTAATTGTATACGAAATATTTTGCTTAATGTTATTTTTAAAATTATATCAGATTATTATTTTGAAATTATTATTTAATATTTAATTTCAATAATAAAATAAATTTGGAATTAATAAATTACAATTATAGAATTTGTATTCGTTATCTAGTTTTTGTACATATCCAATTCTATTTAATCTTTTTACAAATTTTCAAATTTTTTCTAATAAATATTGAAATTTTGTTAGTTTTCAATCATAAATTAATGATATTGTAATGTTTGGCCGCAATTATTCAGAACTGATTGAATTCACAGCTAAAAATTTGAATAAAATATTGATATTAAAATGAGTGGTCGCAACTGTCTGAAACTGGTTCCATTTAAAGTTATGAATGACAAATAATTCTAATAATAATACCTCTCTACAATTTTAAATATTACACGTTTATTAAAAATTACAAAAAAGAAAAATATGAAAATTAATTTTCTTAAATAAATGGAAAATAAACCTTTTCTCCTATCAATAAAATAATTTCTGTATTTTTAAATATATTAATAAAATTAATTTTCAATTACAATATTTTTTTTTCTTACTTTAAGAGCTTTAAATTTTTTTCGTATATAGTTAACGTTATGATGGTATTCATTTTTATTTAATATAGTTCTAAATTTATAATATCCTATAAAATTATTTATTATTCAAAAAAATATATACAATATTAGTTTTTATGTTTTCTTTATTTTTTATATATAATATTTTACTTTTAAAATTATTGATAAATAACAAACAAAAAAAAAAACAAAAAACTTAAATGTAGAATCAAATTAAATAAATATATAGATTAGAGTTATTAAATTTTTATATAAAAACAATATTAATATTAAAAATGGTTATAATATTAGAAATTAAAACAAAACTACAAAAATATAATCATATAAAAAAATATTAAAAAATAATAATAATAATAAAGAAAAAACACGAAAGGGTTTCACATTGAAATATAAATAAGAATTTTTGTTTATTCTTTTCTTAGTTTCAAAACAATTTTCACTGTTAATTTAATTTATATGAAATTCGAAAAAGAAATTTAAGAATATTTCAATTTTTAAAAGTGTTTCTTAGTGTATAAAATTATAAAATTTTAATTTCTTAAAAAAATTTAGAAAGAAATAGGGTGTTTTTAATAATTTAGTTCAATTATAATATTTAATTTGCAGCATATTTAGTAATCAGGTATACTACCCGAATTGCTGCCAGAATATTATTTTTGAAAGTGCAGTAAAATTTTGAATATTGTCAATTGCAAATTGAAATTTTAAAAAAGTTGAACACCAATTCTTGCATTCAGATTGAATTTCTGAACGCACTTTATTGCAGTCAGTAATTTCTGAACAATCTATATTTTCAATATATGTAGCGTAAATTTGCGAACCGTATTACAAGTTAGAACTATTCTAGAACTGAATAAACGAAAATCCTCTCCCCCATTTCTGTGGAACTACTTTTTCATTTCTATTGCAAATGCTATTTAAATTCTAAGTTCAAAATTGCAAATACGAACTGCATTTTTAATAAAAATACCCCGTAATTCAAAATGTCAAAAGATTTAATTTTTAATTTCAATAAGTAATTGATAAATTATTTAAAATTTAAAATATTCAAAATTATATAAAATGATATTACATATGAAATTTAGTTTTAATATTCAATTGAATTCGAAACTTTAATTATAATTTGAATAAACAAGAGAAAACCATTAAATATTAAATTTTTTTATTGAATATTTTGTTTTTAGAAAATATTATTAAAAAGAAACTAAAAAACTTATTAAAACTTAAACACTACCAATAATTTTTTACTATTATAATTAAAAAAAAGAAAAAAAAAACACTTTGTTAAAATTATATATCAAAGTGCCTTTTTAGATATAAATATTATTCTTAAATATATATTTTCATAAAATACACAAAAAATAAAATTAATAAAATATATTTTCCAAAAAAAAATTTTTTCTAAATATACAAAATTTGATTGAATTTTAATTTCTTCTCAATTACGAGAATCATTACTTTGTATCTAATACAAAATGTAAAAATAATTATAAAAAAAAAAATAATTTAGAATAAAAACTACGTTCATATCAAAATATTTAAATATTAATTAATTATTTCAA